GGGGGGAGGGGGCACTGGGGGAGCGGCGGCGGTGACGCGGTGGTGGCGGCAGTGCAGGGCGGGGTGGTGGTGCGACGCTGTGGCCCCGATGGGCAATGGGTGACGGACGGCAGCGGGCGGCCCTGGAGGGATCATTCGCAGTGCGAGGACACGGAGCAGGAGACGCCGCTGCAGGTGGGTGCCGGCGCGGTGCGGAGCGATAGGGCACGATATGGCATGATATGTCACGATATGGCATGATATGTCACGATATGGCACGATATGTCACGATATGGCATGATACGGCATGATATGTCATGATATGGAATGATACGGTGTGATATGGCATGATACAGCATAGTATGGCATGATATGGTGCGATATGTCACGATACAGCATGATATGTCATGATATCTCATGATATGTCATGATATGGCATGATACAGCATGATATGGCAAGATACAGCATGATATGGCAAGATACAGCACAATATGGCATGATACGGCATGACATGTCACGATACAACATGATTTGTCATGATATGGCACCATATGTCATGATACAGTGCTATATGTCATGATATGCCACAATATATCATGATATGGCGCGACATGTCACGATACAACATGATTTGTCATGATACGGCACCATATGTCGTGATACAGTGCTATATGTCATGATATGCCACAATATATCATGATACGGCACGACATGTCACGATACAACATGATTTGTCATGATATGGCACCATATGTCATGATACAGTGCTATATGTCATGATATGCCGTGATATATCATGATACATCATGATATGTCACGATATATCGTGATATGATATGTCGCGACACAGCACAACATGTCATGATATGGTGCAGTGCAATATGCCACGATACACCATGATCTGTCATGATACATTGCAGTGCATTACAGTATATCACAATACATGATGGCGCATCGTGATATGTCGTGCCATGTCACGATATATTGCGATACATCATAATACACCGTGACATGTCACGATTTGTTGTGATATGTCGCGATACATCATGATACATTGTGATAGACTGTAATATGTCGCGATATGCAGCGGCAGGCCTGGCTGCTGGAGCAGTTCCGCCTGGTTTACACCGTGGGTTACTCGGTGTCCCTGGTCTCCCTGCTCCTCGCCCTCCTCCTGCTGCTGCTCTTCAGGTACGGACACCCAGGGGGCACCCATGGGTGCTATGGGGCGCCTGTTTGTGCTGCAGGGTGCTTGTGGGGATGAGCGCTGCAGGAGCACCCACAGGTGGTATGGGGCACCCTTGGGTGCTGCGGGGCGCCTGTGGGGCTGAGCATTATAGCAGCACCCGTAGGTGGTATGGGGCACCCTTGGGTGCTGTGAGGCGCCTATATGTGCTTTGGGGTGCCTATGGGGCTGAGCACTGTCGGAGCACCCATAGGTGGCATCTGAGGGTGCTCTGGGGCACCTGTGGGGCTGAGCACTACATGAGCACCCATGGGTGCCCTGCAGCACCTATGGGGGCGAGCACCCCAGGAGCACCAGTAAGTGCCTTGGGACCCCCCTGGGTGCTGTGGGGAGCCTGTGGGTGCTATAGGGTGCCTATGGGGCTGAGCTCTACATGAACACGTTTGGGTCCCCCGTAGCACCTATGGGGTTAAGCACTTTCGGAGCACCCATAGGTGCTACGGGGCACCCATGGGTGCTGCCCACACCCTCCTCCTACTGCTGCTCTTCAGGTATGGAATCAGGCACTTCATGGTCACCTATAGGTGCAGTGGGGCAGCTGTGGGGTTAATCACCGTCGGGGCACCCATGGGTGCTGCGGGGCACCCATGGGTGCTGCCCGGTGGTCCCTCCATCCCCGCAGGCGCCTGCGGTGCACCCGTAACTACATCCATGCCAACCTGTTCCTCTCCTTCGTGCTGCGGGCGGGCGCCATTTTGACACGGGATGCTCTGCTGCACCGCCACCTGCGACCCGGGACCACCGACCCACTTCAGGTCCTGAGCCAGGAGGTGGGTGTCTGGGGTGGGGGGTGGGGGGCACAGAAGGTGGGGGGCACCAAAAGTTGGGGTGACCCATGGTAGGGGGAGCCCAAAATTTGGGGTAGCTGTGGGTTGGGGTCAGGAAGAATTGAGGCGTTGAAGAGTGGAGGAAACCAAGGCTTGGGTTATCCAAGGTTTGGGGTTACCAAAAGTTGGGGTCACCAAGGGTTGGGGTCACCAAAAGTTGGGTTATCCAAGGTTTGGGGTTACCAAAAGTTTGGGGTCACCAAGGGTTGGGTTGTCCAAGGTTTGGCGAAACCAGGAGTTGAGTCACCAAGATTTGGGGTTACCCATGGGTGGTAGAAC